GGAACTCATTATGAAAGACACCGTGCTGTAAGAAGAAAGGAGGCCAGTAAAAAATAGTAGATTTCCCTTAACCCAGTGTTACTATTTGAGCAATATACTGCATAGTTGTTCGGAATTTGCAGAGGTTACTTGTATAAAATGAGATTTTTTTTTTTTTAATGCGACATTTAATTTTCTGTACTATGGAAAAATGTATATGCTGTGTGTGGAAAGGCAGAAGGAGAAAGAACATGGGAAAAGAAAACAATTATCATAAGTATCTTTCAAATTTTACTGATTATGTCTTATCTACTTCCTCAGGTCAAGCATTTGCGTGATGTAGGCAGCTTGGTGATTCAGACATGCACCAACTGAGAATAAATTTAGATATTTATAAAAATTATTTATATAATTATATTTATTAAAAAAAAATCTGTTGTCTATCCAGCAATAATTCTGAATGTAGCCATGAGGATGTCTACATTCCCAATCATTTTGCAGCTGCCTTTGTGAACGAAGCTGTACAAAACAGTTTGTTCCTAAGGATCGGTCCGTGGAGCATCACACTCAACTCTGCAGATATAATAAAGGATAAGTTAATGGAATTTGGGTAACCTGACTCATGTCATGGAAGAGCACTACATTTGTTAATTTTGGTACAGATGATTTTCTATAATGTAGATACTTGTCTTGGCAATTGGTTTCTAGAATATATAATATATAGGATTTATATGCATTGTTTGTTGTTGGCTTCTAAGTCTTCTGAGTCACCTTTCCCTTGGAGTTTACAGCTGGGAATTAACTCACTATAGTTTAGTCACGCTATTTACTTTTCAGTGTTTTCTCTGCATCAGGTATTTCTTCTCCCCTCTTCTGTTTCCAGTTGTCTGTAGTCTGTGGTTAGTTGTAATCATAAGTGATAACTGTGGTTATGATCCATAAGGGCTGGACTATGGTTATGTACCTTGCACTTTAGTCTTGGCTAGAGCTATTATTTTGTTGAGTGGCTTCTCCTGCTCTTTACAAATGTAAACATAATTACTTAAAGAGTGGAATCCTCTATGCTAGAATCCACTCCTGTACTAATACTGCCAGCTGCTTTAGGCAAAGTATCACCAGGAGGTCAAGAGGGTATCCTTTCCTGCTACTTAACATTAATGAGTCCTCTGTCCAGTTCTGGGCTCTGAAGTACAAGAGAGATACAGGCATACTGCAGAGTGTCTAGCTAGCATAGGGCCACCAAAACGATCAAAGGACTTTTCTTATAAGAAGTCTGGGAGAGAGCTGGGACTGTTCAGCCTGGAGAAAAGGAGGCTCAGAGGGGATCTTATCAACATGTATATGTACCTGAAGGGAGAGTGCAAAGAAGACTCAGGCTCTTCTCTGGTACCTGGTGCTAGGACAAGTCACTGTAGGCACAAACTAGAACACAAGAGGCTCCATCTAAACATCAGGAAGCCCTGCTTTACTGAGAACTGGCACAGATTGCCCAGAGAAGTTGTGGAGTCTCCTTCCAAAACAGCTTATACAAGCTCCTGGCCAACCTGCTCTGGGTCCCATCTTGAGCAGAGGCATAGGACCAGATAACCTCCAGAGGTTCCTTTCAACCTTAACTATTCGGTGACTATCTGGTATTTCTTTTAATCCATTGCTTAATACTCTCCTAATGGAGGTTGTTTTCAGCCCCCTTTGCTGTTTTATTATTTTCCTTCAAATTCACACTGTAAAACACCTCAGTTTCTTTCCCCTTCCTGTTTTCTGTATTCGGGTAATACAGTATTTCCATATTCAGGATTTCTTTTTTTTTACTTATGCACAGAGATTTTTTTTTCCTCCAAGATGGTGGCATTTCTTGAACAAGGATGCATTTGCATTTATTTATAGCTAAGACAGAAAAATCAAAGCAGCACCCACATGACCTGGTGGGCCAAGAAAACATAACAAAATAGTCATTGACTAAGACACTTAGAATTCAGAGTGTTGTGTCCATACTTGGATTGCCAAAATTCAAACTGCCTCAAGATTTTCATGGAAGTAGGTACACGCTTTGGCAGTCTCCTCAAGATCTCCAGCAACACTATCTCTTCAGGCAAACCTGTGTAATGTTATTGCTTTAACGTCTGATGAAACAGTGTTTAGGATGTGTGTAGGTTAATGCAACCAGGCATTCTATTTGTAATTGCAAGGCCATCTCTGGGCAAAGTAAATTGCATTCAGTACAGGCATTTAAAAAGCATGAAATCTGGACTTCTAGAGGAAATTCACTGTAGTGAATAATGCTTGTTTATACCCATTTAAATAAGAACGTTTTAACACTATTTCAGGGCATCTCAATTTCTCAATTACAGAAAGAGGTGGTTTCATTACAACTATATTTTTTGATTAAAACACTTCCATTTATATTTTGTTGGTTGGATGACTGACTTCTAGTCAGTAATGTATGCCAATTTAAATACCAGCAGATTCGCACATGTGCATGCTCACACAAATTACAATGTGCAGCAGTTGCACTCATTCATAGAATACACCCATCAGTTAAACGCAGCATAGTATTATTAACTGTGGAAAAAATATTTCATATCCATTAAATTCTTGAGCCCATAGAATTTTATAATACTTCATTTAATAATAGTTTTTCATCTTCTATCATCTAACCATGGCCATACAAGTGAGAAAATATTTCTTTTTAAAATATAACTTAAAGAATGGATAGGAATGACTCATATCCTACTGAACTTGCGTTTGCGGAGCCTTACAAGGAGTCAATCATCACAGCACAAGTAATCAGAAATATAACAACAATTAAGTGTTCTAGTGGAGATTTGCAAGCAACAAGAACAAAATAATGGTTGTACATAAATATAGCCGGTTTCAGTGCAGTTTCAACACTTATGTAAACTGCAGTTTAGCACTGGCAACAGTGTTATTGTAAGCAATGTTATTAGTCTGGCTGCTATCAAAGGCAATAAAAAGTGCAGGTACCAGTAAAGGGCAACTAAAAATAAACCCATTTCTTTACCTTGTGTAACGTTACAAAAATGGAAGGATTATCTCATTTCAGCAGGAATAAACTTCAGATAGACAAGTTAGAATTAAGATAACTTCTTTTACTGCTTTATTTTGTAACTTTAAATCCTTAGTTGACTTTTCAAATTCTGTATTAAGGTATTTCTGAGATTCATAGATGACTCTATTGGCAAGATGTGCACTCTGGTTGCACCTATAAAGCTACTGCAATGAAAATTGTCACATCACGGAAAACAAGTCTGCTTCAAAATCCACCATGTGATGCATTCTGCAAGCATGGTAGCTCCAGTACAGTGTACTTACCCATCATGACTGTCTCCTCACTGTATGCAGGTATGTTGAACAGTCTGGCAGTGTACAGAAAAGTTGTTCTAGCTGGTCTGCAAGGGGCTAGTGAAAAAGGGAATGAAAAGCCATCAGCATCAGAACAAAACAAGCAGGCAGACTCAAGGGATTGATTAAAAAATAAATAGGGATGAGCTTTTGTGACAGAGCCCGAGAAAGTCCAGATTGTAGCAGACAAAAGAGTCATAATCAGGGAAGTTTCTGTGATTCGAAAACCAACATATGAACTATGGGAGAAATCTGGAGTACCCAGAGCTCCCATCTTTGTGTGTTCTAACTTCTGTAAGCTGAAAGCATGTAGAATTAAATGCTGAGGTCCCACTTAGATAAGGCTGCTAGATGTTCAGGAGGGTCAGCTTGCCTGGGTGCGTGTTCTGTCTGTGTTACTATTTGCTATTATACAACTTATATAATGCTATACTACAGAATTTTTGCAACTGTGGATAGAGAAAATGGCTTGTGAAGAAGGCTTTGTATACACTAGTGTATAATAATTCAGCAAAACAGCAGTAATATGGAAAGGAACATTGCTCAGCAAAACTGTCAGATCACCTCAGTCTCTTGCTAATGTCATGATGGTCTGAATTCAGAGAAAATGCTCATAGTCTACATTCTTTACTGATTATCTAAATCTAGGTTTGTCTTTCAGTTGCTTCACTTTTTATGAAAGATTATTTTGAAGTAGTTTACTAAAATGTGGATGCAAGAAAAATGCATTCACGTAGGATTACAAAGCACAAAATCCAGTAATTTAGAGAGAGGTTTAAGAAAAACGTTGCACTTTGGTCAGAATGATGATAATTCACTGTTAGGAATTATGGCTTTGTTTAAAAAAAAAAACAAACAAAAAAAAAAACAGAAAAGATGCAGTAATGGAGAAAAATGCAGAGGAAGAATTAGTCTTTACAGTTTGCAACTCAAATAATTATGAAGAATTACATGGATACAAAGCCCTCTCTTTTATTATTATTATGAACATTACTTACAGACTATTTCTTAGTTTAAAAAAAAATATTAGATGAGAGCTGATTCTATGGATGGAGGGAGTCAGACCTGATTGAAGCTGATGAAAACAGTAGCTGCTCTTTAATTGCATCTCATTCAATTGGAGTACCAGTTCCTATCATTTTAAACCTCAGCCTGGGGCAGGCAGAGCTGAGCTTCATGCTTCTGACTATAAAAATAGGTCTGCTCATTTTATGGGTCTGAACACATTTGAGAGAGATAAAATGAAAAACCCTGTGGAAGAAGCAGAGTGTTCACGATGAGCCGGCACAATGTTTACCCTGAGAGTGCTATGGGAAGCGGAGCAGGAGCCCTGCTGACGTGAGGCTGGGAAAAGCACGGCACACTGAGAAAGGCAAGAGCCTCCTATTTGTTTCTCTGGGCTTTTTGCTCTTTTTTCTTCCCTTTCTCTTTTTTGTTAAACAAGTGTACCAGAGAAATACACATCTGAATTTCTCCCAATCAAGCAACCAGAAACAAGCTGAAGATTTTGTTCCGTATAAGCCCAAATACAGATAAAATGCAAATGAGCTCAAAGATGGGGGGGGTTCCACCAGAAAAACACTCCCAATGGGGGAGAAGTGCTCTATAAAGCACTTATTTTGCTCCAGGACAGAATTCTCAGAGCGCAGACTGACCTGTGCTCTCAGACAGCCGTTTTGTCTCCGTGCAGAAGATATATAGGTGGTCAGTAAATCTCAGTGAAAGCAGCGTAATACCAATTATGCGTACGTATGCACTAATTGCATTTCTTGCTCCTTTAAGATCTCACTAAATCTCACTCTTGGTTTATGGTTTTAATCGACCTTCCTCCAGAGCCCGGCTCTTCCCGCGCTGAGCCGCCCTTACGCCCTGAGGTAATCTCGCGCGCCACCGCGTCTGGCCTCGGCGGAGCGAGGCTCCGTGCAGCCGCTGCCCGGGCTCCGCGGGGCCGCCCTCGCCCGCCGCCGCACCTCCGTGAAGCGCAGCCCCGAAATGGCGGCGTGCGTTTGACCGGCGGCTCGTTGACGCGGCGAGTGGGGCGGGGGCTGTCCCCTCTCCGAAGTAACGCCGGGGTTTCCCCGATACCCTGAGAAGTCCACTGCGGCAGGGAAACGTACACAGACATTACGTTGTTTTGGAAGGTAACAGCTGTGCTTAATGCTGCAAGCCGCCGGAGAGGAGGCGAACTTAAGAGTGTCTTTCTAGTTACTTCTCTAAAGCAGTGCATTTCCTTTCTTTGCAAATATAAAATAATTCTTAGTTTTTATATTTAAAACCTGGTGTTGGTTGTTTTTTTTTTTTTTTTAATTCTTCTAATCGAAATCTGTGCTCTAAAATTCCAGTACCACTGTGCAGTGAAAACCCAGGCTTGGTGTTTTGCTTTGAGGTACTTTGAAACAGTTAAGTACAGAGCTCTGTTCCTGTGTGAAAATTCCTGTTAGTGCAAATGCATAATGCTGGCCAAGTGTCAGCAATCCAGTTGCAGTTACTGAGGTTTCTTTCTTGCCAAGGTAGTGAATTGGTTCTGTCTCATCCCACAGTCGAATTCTGTGGAAAATGTGTATTCAAAAATATGTCAAATTCCTTTTAGACCCCTTTTGTACCCCCAAATTAACTTCACTCAATTTTTAATGCATGATTTCAAACTATAATGCATTTATTTTCCTAACATGATGTCCTTTTATCATCTGGTGTTTATCTGGGTTGATGTAGATTATTGACACTGTAGCACATAAAGTGAAAATAGAAGTGTTCACCCAAGTTCTGTTCAGAAATGAAAATATGACCTGAACCAAGCAGAGCTCTTTTGCCCCTGGGCTGATACTTTCACACGGCAGTCCTGCTAGGAGGAGGGGTGAGCATAGGACACTGAAAGCCAGTTCAGACCCTTTTAAAATAGAAGGTCAGTTTATGTGCAAATATATCAGTTTGGAAACAGAAAATATGAGCTTTTTCACCCTTTGTGCTGACATTTGCTGCTCTGCGATTAAGCACCTGCAGGAAGGTTGTCTGCAGCAATACACAGGTGTGTGCTGGAGAGAGAGGACAGCTGTGTGATTCCCCCCTCAGAATTGTTTGCTGCCTGGCTGATTATGTGCACGATGTTATTTCTTCAGTAACGCTCAAAATCTTTGGTTAGAAGAAATGTACCTGTATTATTGGCTTTGTGAGTACAGAGATGAGAGATATAGCAAGCAGTGCAGTGGCTGTTTGGTTGCTTTAAAACCTGCCAGGACCAATTTTGCAGTGTTTTTGCCAAATGCATTCAAAATAAAAAGTTCACTGGACAAAGACAATGATTCTTGCATGCTAATGGCTGGAGGACAACAAAAGACTCCTGAGTGCAAAACTTTTCCTAAGGAAGGGAAATGTTCTGTGTTGCAAAAAACAGAAGTTACTGTCTTTGCTAGTCTTCTGCTAGAAGAAATGATGGAGAAGAGAATAATGAACAAAGTGCTCATAGACTGTGCAGTGATGTGAAGGTATTCATAGAACATTTGTGTTCAGGAAGGTGTTCTGGAATACTGAAAATTCGTTTGCTTATATTCAGCTTAAAAAAATTTGGCTGGTGATATTTTTCTGTACCCTAGTTCCAGGCTGTCATCTAAACAGCACTGTGATACGCTGCACATAGTGTAGCTTTTCTTTCCTTAGTTCTTACAGATTTCCTTTTTCTTCAGTTCTAGATGTAAATTCCTGTGATCCAACCCAAGGAAACGTGAGAAAGCAGGAAGTAAGATGAGGGAAGAACCTAAGTGTTAGAAAGAGAAAAGGAGAAAGGGGGAAAAAGTCTCATACAAACCTCAAGCATAACTGGCCCAGGTGAGCACTAAACTTTTTACCAACTTTTTCTACTGCTGAACTTCACTAATGTTGAGTTAGAGAATACAAAGGCACTTTTGGCTTATTTGTTCAAGGGAAGAGGAGAATGCTCAGTGCCTGCAGGAACAGTAAGCTCTTTGTTCAGTAGGAAAGATCTGTCCTGGTTTTATTCTCTTGTAGTTTAATTCCTTTTCATAAAATTAAACTGAGCTGGACTGTGGAAGAATAAGCAAGCTTCAATGTATCACCAGTCGTCCAGGATGCAAGTGGGCGTTTTCAGTAATGTCTAAAGCACTGCAGTCTAAAGTATGGAGCCTTAGTGTTAACAAGGGGTATCAAATACGTGAACTTATTTGCTGTGGTGGATTATCACTGCGCTGTTTGATACAGACCTGTAGCTCCTAATATGGTGAGAGGAGATGGGAGAAGGTAAGGGAATTGCAGCAGGAGAATCTAGAACACAGAAAGTGCACAGTGAAGGTGATGATCACCCAAGAATTGACAGTGTGCAGCTGGGGAGAGCATCTGTTCCACTGGTTAAAGCAGTGGATTACTCTGCAGGTGAAATGGAGAAGGAGCAACCGTCTAATAATACTTTAAATCTGTCTCCTATTGATTCCCTCCCAGTTTTCCTGCCTGGCATGCTTCTTTCACACCTTCACAGAGTTCTGTGCTCCTGTTCAGAGGTCTGGTCAAGTGGAATTGGGAAGGGGCATCTTGTCAGGAGTGACAAGATGTGACTGATTTTTGTGTCAGCAAAAGGAAAACTCAGAATGAACCAGCTGCTGCATTAAAAAAAAGCAGGGACTTTAGATTGACTTGCCACACCAGAAAACTGAAAAACACCTTGGTAAAGCTGAGCTGTCCCTTCTGAGTGCTTTGCAGCAGGCAGGAAGCTCTAATGACTCACTGAGACTTCACCTGTGGTGGTGGCACAGGAGGGAGGGCAAGGGAGAATTTTCTTGCTAAGCTGCTGCTTCAGGAGGAACAAGGCATACTAGAGGTAATTCATGTAAAGTTTCGGATATGTCCTTTTCCTTAATGTTGTCCATTTCCTGGATCCACGTACTATTTTCTCATTGTTGTGAGTTTCAGCCTAAATGTCCAACTTCCATGCTAATGTTTGAGTCTTGTGTCTCCCATCCCCAGAATTAGGAATGTAGCATTTAGGTGGAACACTGCAAAGTATCTGAATAGATGAAGTCATTTTCTGAATGCTGTGCTAATCATTAGTGTGTACTGCATAGCAGTTCAAGTATTAATAAGAATTCCACAGAACATAATACAGAGGAACTAGAAAATTCTCTTGAGAAGAAAAAATGATGACAGTTTATCCTTTCATCCTAGCAAGGGTTCTTATTTTAGTTGGTACTTTCTAATTGCTATCAGCAGTATCAAAAGACACAAGGTGATGTTAAAGAAGTTCCAGCCTTTGCCCAGAAATCTGTAGATTTCATTCCAGCTGTGCCATATTCAGAGTTAATTGGATGACCCAGTTTTTATCCTGAAACACTGTATGAACTTAGAGACTGTATCAGTGCATCTTACAAATTGCTTGAGAAGAGCACATCTATGATCTTAGGTACAAAAAAGCTGGAGGCCACAACACAGTGTTGGAAGTATATTAGCTGCTTATCACTGAAAAGAGAGGTGACCAGGGGAATGGGAACTCATGCCACAACCATAGGAGCCAGATGTTTCCATTTTAGTTAAATTCCCTCTAATTTACTAAATTACTAATTTAAATTAGTAAAAGATTGATATGAAGATGGTTTGAGGGACAGTGTTCATCATTCTCTTCATCACAATAAAGCATCATCCCATTTCTTTCCATGTGCCGTCTTGTTTGAAATAAATCAACTGAGCAAATGAAGTATTCAGGAAACTCTCCTCAGTTCTCTTTACCAACTAAATCAGGCTATAAGTTTAGGATTTCTGTTTCATTCATCATGTGCTTGAGACCTCCTCATGTTCTTGTTAATAATTCAGCCTTCAACTATTCCAGGTTTATTGCTCAGCAGGAGAGCACTTTTTGCTGGGTCTAGCATATGGCCAACAGAAGCTATGTCAGGTAAGGAATACAAGCTGTAAGTTTTCACCTTTTTCTCTTTTATTGTTAACCAGCTTTGAAACAGAACTATGATGCATACAACGATATTCATGTATATCAACAGCTGTTAGCTTGGGTAGCCAGTTACTTTGAAACAGCTGGAGATATGCCAAAGATCTCAGGTGTCTTGAAGGCTGTCAAGCTTTTACTCTTTTTGTGTTTTGTTGTTACAGTGTCTGCGAACTCAGCAAATTCTGAAGGAAACTGGATTAGGTAAGAAAGAATTTTTAAACTTCATATCCTATGGCATGTTGGTGAAAAACAGATGTATTGTGTTGTTCTGTCTCCCTTCCACAAAATAGATAAGTCCTTGTCTCACTGTGGAAACATGTCATAATTCTATTCCAGGTAGGCAGCTAGTAGCTATGAATTGTTACTCTGCTTGGAGATAGATTTCTTAACCTTTTTCTTTCCTTTTCTCATTTATTTATTTATCAAGTAGTGAAATTACAACTACCGATGTAGGCAAAATAGTTGACTCCCAGGTTTATCATAACAAGTACATAGTAAAGAAGCAGTAACTTACTCGCTGAGAACGCGCGTTTAAAAATTACATTGATTAGTGGCTCTGCTATTGTTTCTCAGTGTGGCCTTCATTTGTGACAGCACGACTGTATTTGACTCAGATTGCATTAGAAGTATTAATTCTATTCTCTAACGTTCCTTAGGAGTAAAACAGCCCTTCTGACCCATCAGTTACTTCTCTTTCTCCTCCTTTTCATAAATTAGTTGCTAATAGAGACTTCTGAACTGTGTGGTGCATGGCATAATAAAATACAGATCTCCCTGGATGGTGAAATTCTTAGTTGTATTTTTGAAAGAACTCTTCAGCCTTATCTTGGAAAGAAACTACCATGTTTAATTTCTACAGACTTCACCTCTTAGGTTTCTTCTAAGAGTGATTGTTACAAATCATACTTTAAAGGCTGCTAGTCTTGAGTTACAAGTCTGTAGTGTTGATGGTTCCAGTGATGGACAGTGCCTGCAGTATTGGATGAGGAATAAGTTTTTACAGCCTTAATGCTATAAGAAAGAACTGTACTGCTTTCATTACAACTTCTGTCTGGAGAATTGACTCATAGCACACTTTTTCCTTTGTGTGTTCTTTGCAAAATAAAATAAAATTAAAATATGGTAGCTCGCTCTTCCCTCAGAATTCATTGCCTCATCAGTGTCAACATATTTGTGAAAGGAAACCCAAGGATTTCATTGTAAAGAATTTTAAAAGAAAAATCAGTTTACAGAGAATATTAACACTGAATGTAGCACAGGTTTCAATTAAGGATTTTCCTATCTAAGCGTTAAGTTAATCTTCTTGCGTGTCTATTTACAATTATAATAGCAGAAGGAGTGTCGCTTTCTAAGACACTGTGGTAATGGAGCTAATGACAAAACAGTTGGTGCTGTCACGCTAGGGTGATCTTCACTCTTGCAAGACAAAATATAGTTAGACTGGCACATTTTTGCAGGGGTAGGCACTTAACCATGTGTATAAAAGATTTGACTTCTTTTAGCCAGCAGATGCCTCTGTCCTTGGCCAAGATGTCTTTACAAGATATATAAATCTGTAGAATGCTCAACAGTCTGTACTATATGCCGTGGTTTCTTCTCCAAAATGCTTTGACTTGTGTTGTGGAAATGCTAAGTTGCAGTCTGACCCAGTGATTGAGCACCTGGTGGGAAGGCAGGGCCAACCCAGGGGAGCTCAGGTGCATGTAATGCAACTGAGTGACTGGAAAGGACGCAGCCAGGATCCATCCTATCCCAGACCTCATTTAAGGGTTGGCACTAGAGGTACAGGTATCTTGCTGGAGATACCTGTGTACCTGAGATCTTCTAAGGGTAAGCAGATTTTTTTTTTTTCTCCCTGTGTTACTGTATCAATGGCTGCTGTATTTGGGTTTATCCTTGCTGCAGCCTATACTTTGCTACCCTGCTGTCACTGCTGTGCTCTCCATTGCATTTTAGTGTTATGGACCTCTAAATGTATAAACGCTTTGGGGACTAGGTGGAGGATCTTGGAGTGTTGCAACCATACCAGCTCAGATAAAACTGTCCTAAGACCTATGGCTGCCAGATTGCTGTAATACCAAGTAAACTCTTCACTTTATCCTTGACCTAATTCCAGTTCTGTCAAGGAGGATCTACTGAACTTCTAGGTATTCAGTTGTGCCTTATATCTCCTCTTTCTTGCCTCTGTACTCATTCAAATGGAGTCCATTAACTGCAGTCCAGCATCTCCTTGTTCTAGGTGTGCTGTTTCTACCTCTGACTGTCTGCAGATGGAAAATTTTGCTGAACAGTTCCTTAGAAGGACTTGATGTCACTAACAAACTGCATACAATAAGGGCCTCGGTATAGGCTTTGGCACAAGTATCAATCCAGATTCAAAATTCATACAGAAATGATATGTTTTGCATGGAAAAATAGACTGGGCTCTTATTTCATTGTAACAAGGTAGAGGCACCTCTCTGTCTGTGAAGACTTTTTTCTTTTTTCTTTTTCTTTTTTTTTTTTCTGTGGGTAATAGAAGAAAAGATTGAAAAAATAGATGGAGTCTTCTTTTTGGGATTGAAATCAGAAACAACAGGAAGTTCTGGTTTAGACTGTTCAGAATAGTGCTGCTTCCATTTTTTATTGTTTCCTGAGTGAGTGTAGAACTGCAAGAGTAATGATGATCCCAAGGAATTCTCATCTTCATATTTCACTATTAGTTGGAAATAGAAAAATCCCACCCTTTTGTCTTGTAAATATTTCCATGTGAGTGAGGAGTATTATAGTAAACTCCGCCAAGTGGAGATGTTCCTGATTTAGTGTTCTCTGCTATTTCTGTCCTCAGCTTAGGCACTGAATAAATGACAGGAAAAGAGCAGAATCTTTTATAGTAGCTCAGCTAAATAATGATTTGTTCTACTATTTATTCGTGATCAGTGCTGTTGCCAGTTCTTGTCTTTTTCATGATGTCTTTACTCATTCTTTTCTCTGTTGTGCAGTCCAGCATGGACAGAAGAATAGAAGGAAACTGCTGTCAATCTGGTCCTGAAAGACAGGCAGGGCTAGAGGTTCCAGGTTCACTTCTTTCTTTGTTATCTCCCCTACTTTTATGCCCGGGTAAATGTATGCAAATTTATCAATTTGGCAGTAAACTTTAACACAAAGTAATAATTAACTTAAGCAGAGGGAAAATGGAAATGGAGAAATAACTTAATATGATGCAACAATTTCCAGAGAAAGGGTTGCCCCTTAGGGTTATGAAGACATGAGTGCCCACTGAACATGCTGATACTCTGTCTGGTGGAAGATGACTTGCTTTCAAACGCTTAGCAGTTTACCTGAGATATTGTAGGATCTGTCACCTAATCAAAACTTTTTTAAAAAATTATTTTCAACACTTGTCCTCCAGCACAGTTTTTCTTTGATTTAGAAGAAAGAAAGTACTGGAAAATTCCCTGTGTCAGCTATTGTATACTTTTTAATGCACTGACTTTGAGGACATTTGTCAGCAAATCTAGAGGTATAGGATGAGGGAACTTTTTTTTGTTTTTGTTTTTGTTTGTTTCTTATCTCTAGATTTGTCAGTTAAGTAGTTTAGATTCTATCTATGTAATCACTAACTGGTTCCTTCACCTCCACCATGGGATGATCCTGTCATATCAGTAGCATGTCCAAACAGCCTGTAATCATAGAAAGTCACTGACCTATGTTATCTGGTCACAAAACCTCTTTTGAAAGGTAAAGAAGAAAAGAACAAGCCTACAATTTTTATTATTCAAAGTATGTAGTATTTCTGTTGTTAATAGTTTTCTTTTGTGTGTGGAGAATAAGCAGACTGATTGTGTTAAAGAGGAGTAATTAGACGAGGAGTACTAAGAAGTGCAGAATGGGGTGACAATTTTCCTGCCTTCTTGTACATTTTTCACACTTATATTAAACTTTCTGGAATGCTGAATGATAGATATGATTGATTTTTATCTCATTTGTAAGGGCGTGTTTGGTGCACATCTTGTCTTCACGTGTTCTCTCATCGTTTCTGTCAATAGTTATATGGATGATCTTTATACTTTATGTGCAACCTGTGAAGTGAATATAAAGACCAGTCAGACTACCTTTTCTAATATATTTTCTTCTTTCAAACCTAATATAAATGTCACCTCCATTATGAGCAACTGTAGCAGATGGAACTGTGGAATGTGAATCAAAACATTTCCTGTAATTAAAAAAAAGAGGTAAAGTACTTCTTCAGAAATTACAGAATATCAACAAAAAACATATCTTTAATTTGTAGTTCTTTTGAGGAAGTTTTTGGAAATGTTTTGTATTATGTTTATAGATGAAAATTCCACCATTCCTTTAATTATTTTATTATATTTTTAGCCATTTGAGCCTTACATTCCTAATTATAGAGGAGACGGTCAGTGAATCATTGAAGTCTGGTAAAGTGCTTATCACCAGTTGTAGTTTGGACTCCTGGCTTGAACAGTGAAGGACTATCATGATGGGTTGTTATCATGTATATGTCATAACAGAGAAATTGGCTTCCTTTAACAGCTCAATAAAAGGCAATTATGATGGTATAAGATTGCTCAGCACAGATCTTCACTGAGTTAGACAGCAGTGCTGAGATAACGTGCTTGGTTTCATGCTACTTCACAGCAGCTTAGTAGTTGCTGTGAAATTGACACCAATCTGTGTAAGCCATTGGAAAAAGAATTAAACTATACTCTGTACTGGAAGGTGACAGACTGAAAGACTTGGGTTGCAATGTGTACATTGAATGCTAATAATATAGTTTTACTTTTAAAGGACAGATAATGTGCTTTAATTTACAAATGGTTGTGACAGAGTTGTGTTCCTCCCTATCCCACCCCTCTATCCCAAAAACTGTGATGATACTTCCACATGTAAAAGGCAGTGTGTCCAGGGGCATGTCTTTCGCAAACTGATAACATGCAGAGCAATGATGTGGGTAAAGCAGCTTTTTAGGCTTCAGCGCTACACCGAGTTCCAGGAGGTTGCAATGCTGTCAGGTCATCAAAGTACAGTTATCTTATGGCTTCCTTGAGTTCACCTCCTCATGCTGCAGTCATTCCTCCTGACTCCTGGAAAGGTGTCCCTGAAGGGGTGAGTCATGAGGTGGCTCTAGCTTCCAAAAAAAAAAAAAAAAAAAAGGTAGGTTCCAATTTTAAAGGTTTTTTTGAGAATGTTGGTCTCAA